AAGTCCACATGATGTAGGATTGAAATAGCTAACTGTAGCGCCGAGCAAAACTAAAATTATAATTGCCTTCCAGCAGTAAAAACTAATTCTGAATCTATGCCCAACAACTGAGTATGTGAAATTTCACAATTTCAGTTTCTACAGTGATCTTCCCTTTGGCTAAAATTATTGAAGCAAGAAAAAAAATCAAAAAATTATGTGTTCTTTGGAACCCAACAGGGAAACGGGATTAAATGTCAATTGATGTGCAAGTTAATGAAGTAATTGTTGGCTGTTTCTCTGTCAGGTCGGCACACTTGTAACATATTTGTCAAAAGCAATAAAAATAAGACTAATCACTGGTCCTCATACATCACTGTTCCTCTTTAAATCTTCTGGCTATTTCATAAACACTATTACTTCATCTGTATTGTTATAGCAGGTAGGACCACTGTATACCCAAAGCAACAGGGAAGTATAGTTACTATTCCTCCCATCGTAGAGGACTCTAGGTAAGTTGGGCAGTCGTCCTGCATTAAGGAGCTACAAATGCAGTTTAGAGAAAAGTAAACACACCCAATATCTTCCTCTGTGTGCAAGTTCTCCATGATTCAACCTCATCTTGTTGATGTTTCTAAATCTTAGTATACATAGGCCTACCCATGACATATGAACATGAATATTCCATTCGTTATAAGTTAAACAAATGTTTACTGATCATCTGCCTAATTCAGGCGGCCCTGTAGATGCTGGGATACCAGCAGTGAAGAAAATAGCTCAAGCTTCTCCCTATTTTCCTGGAGCTCATTATGTTTAAATATGTTTTTAATCTGGGCTTTCAGCCATATGGTCATATTTATCGTTTATTCATTTCTGAGTAACCAGCAGGTGTCATATATACAGTGTATACAGGATCTAGCTTATATGTACTTTCTCAGAAGAGGCTCATACCTTTCTCTGTTGGAAGAATAAAACGGGAAGAATGCTGTCATAAAGGCTCTGGTGGGGGAGGTGAGGGTTGATCTGCAAGTTCTCAAGGATGAACTCTCGCCTCTCTCTCCTTGGTTTCTGCCCAGTGAATCTCAACCTTCCTAATACTGCAGCCCATTAACACAGTTCCTCATGTCATGGTGACACCCAGCCATAATATTATTTCCATTGTAACATCATGACTGTAATTTTGCTATTGTTTTGAATTGTAATGTATATAGCTGATATTACCAATAATCTTCAGAGACTCCATCTGACGCTCTCAAAGGGGTCAGGACCCACATGGTGAGGACCAATGCTCCATCCGTTCATGGCCTTGTATTCCCACCCACACTCTGTAATGAGTTATGATCTATAATAATCTCCTTAGCATATATTATAACAATATTTTTGACTTGACTTAGTCTTGTGGCTACTTCTCCTAAGAAGTTCAGAGTGTGACAAAAGCCAGGAAAGGCAAAGCAGTTGCCTATTGTGTCCTGTTCTGAGTTCTTCCTTCCTCACCAGAATTACAGCTTGTTAAGTTTCCAATATTCTTGTTTCAGATAACAGGGCCTGTTCTGTGATCAGGCCACGCCAAGTTTTTCATTGCCTTGCATCTGGAATAAGGAAGTGTCTCCAGGGAAGATGCACAGTTTTCTCCAATGTACTGCCCCAATTTCTTTAGTCTCTGATGTTTTATTAACATTTAAGCAGATTTTAGAGGGCTTATTATTGTTATTTTTTACTTACACTTATTTTAGTTGTTCTTGGTTGCATCATTGATCTGTTGTAAGTATATTCAGGCTATCTGCTAAAACAAAATATGATGCATTCACACACACACATGCGCACACACATGCATGTGCACACACACACACACACACACAAACACACACAGTGTACTCTAGTGATTTTTTAACTCATTGGTAAAATGTACAGGGAGTAAGAAGTCATTGAGCATATTCATCAAAATGTCATTGAAAATGCTGGACAGTTCCCAAAGCTGATTCTCCAAAGTGCATGGATTTCACTGTCTCAGAGCTATTCAGTGATGGTTGTGGTGCTGAACTGGGTAACAGGAAGCTCTGTTCAGTTTGGAGCTTTCAGACCAAAGTACTCAGATCAGTGAGCCTACAACAGAGGGTGTCCAGTAAATGTGGTAGCTAGCTCTAAGTAGTGGTTAATGCTACTGTTGGCTTCTTACTCTGCTTCATCAAGGGCCTAACATCTTCATCATGTACTAAAGTATAAAGGAGATTTTCTTCATGTTTTTATATCTCCATTAATACTTGCAGGAGGCAGGTATAGCATAATCATTATGAGTCTATATGGGAAACGCAGGAATATTTATATTCTAATCTTAATCATTTGTCACATGCTTACTTAGAACAAGTTGTGGAACTCTAGATGTTGTTCCCCTTATCTGTAAAACGGAAGTAGTAAACCACATCACTGTATCTAGATGAAAATCGATGGACGCACTGTACTCAAACTACACACTGTGAACGCTCAAGTTCTTGTAGTTACACTTCTTCACATAATATGGAAATCCAATCAGCAACTACAATGTTTGCAGGGGAGTTTAACATGTTTACCTGGACTAGTGGTTTTTAACCTGGGGGTTTCTACCCCTTTGGGTGTTGGCTCCTTGCCAGCAGGTCCACGCAAGAGGAGAGAGGTCCCAGTCCCGCTGCTGATGCTGAGTCTCTCTGGGGCTGAGCCAGATGGTGAGTGTCAAAAGAAACACAGTGAGCCAGGAGTCTTGTCGAAGCAGGAACTCAACTTTATTGCATCGGCCTCTCGCTTACATAAACTCGGAGCATAGGGAGGGGGATTTTTGGTGGGGTGAGATGACGTAGTAGGTAGGGAAGGGTGACAGAAGGTATGGGGTGACTGACAGGGCCAATGGCAAAGCTTTCCATCTAGCAACGGCAGGGCAGAGGCGGTGCTAAACAGGTCCTGTTGAGTTACTCCAATACAGAAGTGACTGAGATAGGTCTCAAAACTCGAGCTGGGCTTAGGCTCTCCCACAAGGCTGCAGAAACTCAAGCCAGGCTTGGGTTTGTCCACAAGGCCCAAACCAGGGCCGAAATGGGGCCCACATTTGGGAGTCACATATACGATATCCTGCATATCGGATATTTACATTATGATTTACAAGAGAAGCAAAATTACAGTTATGAAGCAGCAATGAAAATAATGCTATGTTTGGGAGGTCACCACAACACGAAGAACTGTGTTAAAGGGTCACAGTGTTGTGAAGGTTAAGAACCACGGCCATAAAAAGAACTATTTTAAGAGCATAAAATTTTGTTCTTTAAAAAAAAAAACTATTTAGATATCTTTTTTTTTCTTTTTAAAATAATGGAACTGTCTAAAAATAACTCCGGAAATAAAATAACCAAATTGAAGATGGCTTTCAATTCATCAGTTTTCAAAATGGACCTTACAATTTTCAGTAGATAAGCAGCAAACATGTTATTATCTATCTGAGACTAATTCAAGAAGAAGCAGGTTTTTACCGATACTGTAAATTATATGGTATCATAACTTTTAGGAAAAGGAGCCAAATTGAGATTAAAATAATCAGAGTGATAAACCTTAGAGGTAAGAAAAACGAGAGAGAGAAAAACTTGATCTCCTGCCATCATTTATTTACTCACGTGATATTGATTGGCCCAGTTTCCCTAGAGACATGAGGAAATAATAATTAGTAAAAATTATGACATGAGAAAGTAGAAAGGGCAATGCTTCCTTCAAGACAAATGGTCTTACTCCTGAAGCTGCTGTACCACAACTATCCCTCCCTGAGTTGAAAGAGTATGAACTGTGTTATTGCAAGCAAGTAAGGGTTAGTGATTCTCTGCTATGCTTGCAGACAGGAACCTAGCATAACTGTCTCCCGAGAGGCCTCATCCAACAGTGGATGGAGACAGATGCAGAGACCCACAGCCAAACATCAGGTAGTACTTGGGGAGTCTTGTGGAAGACAGGGGGCCAGAAATGAGTGAGCCAGAGGGATCAAGGACACCACAAGAAGACCAACAGAGTCAACTAGCCTGGGCCCATGGAGACTCACAGAGACTGAACCACTCACCAAAGAGCATTCAGGAGCTGGACCTAGGTCCCCTACACATTCATAGTGGATGTGCAACTCGGTCTTCATGTCGGTCCTCTAACAATCAGCTCACGGGCTCATGTATTTGACTCTGTTGCCTGCTTTTGGAGCCTCTTCCCCTAACTGACTGCCTGGTTGAGCCTCATTTGGAGAGGATGTACTTAGGCCTACCGTGGCTGGATGTCCCAGGGTGGGGGTGGTACCCAAGGGAGGGGGCTTCCCCTTCTCTCAAGAGGAGTGGGTGGCTGGGGAAGATTTGTAAGGGTGCAACTGGGAGGAGAAATAGGATGGGGCAGGGTGCATTTGGGATACAAAGTGAATAAATATATAAATTAAAATAAAAATGCAAAAATTAAAACAAGAGTTAGCTGTATAAAACTGAAATGATACATTAAACATTCTGATCATTATTGTTTCAACTGAAACCACACACACTGAATCAAATATTACCTTAGTTCACCGTGCAGATGTCTTCCTTGAAACTTGACAGTGTTCTGAACAATATCCTGGTGTGATACACCAAGGCCCTGTCCAGCACCTTTCCAGTGGTTCTAAGTTGACAGAACACGTCTTTCCTCTCAGGCTCCCCATGTCAGGGATTTTCTCAGCTCTGCTCACACTTGAGTGAGTGTGAAATGAAGCCTTTGCTGAAGATTCCTGTTCAAATGTTCAAAAGCTGATGTTGGTCTTGCAGCTAAGGGGTGGACTGCACGCAACCATGACCAAATTCCCAATCAGTTTTCAAATCTAATCGAAACTGACCCAGACACCCTCCAAATGTTCCCCTGCCTTTGCAGATGTATAAACAAATGTGAGATGATATCCAGGAAGCTTATTAAGAGGAGAAAGAGCATGTATCTATGGCTGCACTGGGAAACTTTGACTGGACAGCTCTCTCAGCCTGGGCAATGTCCTGTGTTTGTTTCCACAGAGCATATCTCATCACGGACTATATGGGCATCCGCAATGAAAGTTTCATGAAACTAGCTGCTGTGGGGACCTGGATGGGGGACTTCGTCACAGCCTGGATGGTAAGAAAAGCACAACTTCTCTCAGTTTGAACAAATGTCAAATGGAAGGGGTGTCCATAATGTCCGAAGGATGTTGTGGGAAGAATTACTAATTGTTTTAAGAGCACACATTAGTAAGTATGTACCAGTGTTGAAAACTAATTGCGTATTTTTTGTTCAGAATTGATTTTGTAAGCATAGATTAGTCTAGAGATTATATTTGATATCTGTTGCCCTCAGAAAGTGACAAATGCAGCCAGAATCTATGCATGTACGTATATATGCTTCTTAAAGGAAAAAATCCCCCCTATGAAATTCTGAATAATCTTTTGGCAGCTGTCGTTCTGACACACAGAGTTGCCAGGTAAGGAATGCAATGTGGTACGTCTCAGAAGGGCACCAGAGACGTTCTTTAGGTGGTCTCTAAATTTGTTTTCTTCCATGAACCAATGGCTCACTGGTAACTAAGAGTTTCGATAGCTCTGGGTTTTTAAACTTGACGTTATCTTTTAAGAATTTCATATAAGAATACTCCAGAATTGCCCCAATGCTGTGTGTCCTCTCCCCATTCTGATCCACCCCGTGCCTCTGCTCAGATTGTCCTCTTGAGTGCCTGACTTCTAGATTTATTATTGTTATATGTACACAGCCTGCTGTTGACCACATGGACATGGGTAAAGAGCTGAGCACTTGGGCTTGGGCAGCCTTTGACAGATTCTCCCTCAAAAGAGGTAGATGATGTTCCTGATGATGGCATCTAAGGATGTCTTTTGGCTTTTACTTACATGTGCACATATGTGCAACCATACATTTCTCTCCCCAACACCCATAGACAAAATCAAATTCATTTAATAGTGACTTACTTTTAATGAGTGAAAATAGTGATTAGAATAGGCTACTCATGGAGTGCAGGCTATGTCATACTAAAATCTTCATTTCCATTTGTAAAATCTATTTAGGAGGAGGTACACACATTGGAAAATCATGTAATCGAGATTTTGGGCTGTATCTTTTGAGAAAGTTCTACATTCATTGTGATTGTGACTTTTAGCTCAACTCTGCGAAATAAATTGGAAGTGAGAACCAGATCAAGGTTTCAGAGACTAGGACTCTCTGACTTGATACTATCAAGTCAGATACTTGTAGGTCATGTGCTGACCTACAAGAAGTAAGATATAGACCCAATTTTCACATTTCTCAAGTGGATTTCATAGTTTTCTATTTTTATTATATGTTTTTTTATAAATATAAAATGTGTGGCCCTAGCTAGGACTTAACATGCTGAAGTATGTGGCAGATGTCAGTGCTTCGCCCTGGCTGCTGAGTTGTTTGTCTGGGTCTACTCTACTAATTGAAGGGCAGGTCACTGAGCCAGGCCTCATGCTGCCAGGACTTCTGGACCCTTGGTAGATCTCACCACGCCCCAGGCCTGGATGCAGATTGTCTGGAGTTGCCATGACATTACCAGTGCAAAGGTAGATAGGTGGTGTGGCCTACCACTTCCTGGTTTTGCTCTTGACAAGCCCATGAAGGAGCAACAGGAGTAAAGACTTAACAAAAATCACTCTGCAGCCTGATAAAGTGCATGCCAGTACTCATGCCAGCCTTTAGTACTTAAGCCATTTGCTGCCTTTCTTGTGGTATCAGTTTGTCTATGGCCTGTTTCTGTCAAAGTCTCCAAACATTTCCTCACTGTGGTACTCCTATCCGTCTAGAGCTCTGCCTCTGTGGTGTTTGTTTGTTATTGTTGTTGTTTCTAAGTCTACTTCTTTAGTCTCCTTCAAAGGGATGTGCATAGGGTAGCTTTGACATTTCATCCTTTCTGGTTGTATTTCCAGTCCTGTATATGTCTGCTTTCTTACAGGCAAAGGTAAGAGGAACACAAAGAATCGGCCCATGATGCTATCTTTTCTTCAAGGTCTAACTCAGACTCAAAGATTAATGTCTCCTCCTTTAATGTCTTGTATTTGTATGTGCTAACCTGGCTCTTTCTCCTCTATAGATCACTGCTTTATTAAAAAGCTAGAAAAGAATAGTGTGTTTTAGTCATAACCACCCATTGTGAGCTTGAGTCCCCTGGGCTGCTCCACTTTCCCTTTCTGCAAACTGGGGTAGAGTGCCGGTTCTCTTTCTGCTTATGTTATATGAAACCGTGACCTTTCCCTACTAGACTCAGGTAGAAATGACAAAGTAAATGCAAGTTCCTGCTTTGCAGGCGCAGCCACACAGGGAGGATTCCCAGAGCGCAGTCTCTATTCCCTCTCCTATTCATTGACAGGCAGCAACTTTCCAATAAATATTTATATGCCTACATGTGTGTGCATTGATAACGCTTTAAAAAATAATATTTTTCCTCACGAGAGAAATCTCAGGTAGTTTTGACCTTCGTGTGCATAGAATTCTCAGTATGGAATGAATATCAATGATGACGGTGACCTTCAGGGAAAAGCAAGTGACTTTTTACATCGACAATCACATATTAACTCTTAATGGATTTCTGTAGTGAAAGATTTTTCTTTTCTGGAAATAATTCTCAACTTTCCCATGGTTCATAAACGCTATCCAGATCGATGTGATGCAGACACGAGTGATCCCAAACACTCTGAAATACCCCTGGCCATCACATGACTGAGTGCCCAGCCCTGTCCTCAGCTTTACAGTAAACCCTGTGTGAAGGACAAATGCATACAAAGCCCTGTTATGCTTACCATTTTCTTTTTCTTTTTTTTGTTAAATATTTGTTTTTAAATCAAAGAGATGCATAAAGTGTCATTGTAATCAGCACCAGGCTGCACTGTTGCCATTTTTAGGAGCAAAGAGTTGTATCCTGCCTGAACACATGTGTGTGAAGCAGAAACACTGGCTGTCTTGAGCTACACTTTCTTTGTGTCTACTGCTCTGTCATTCAAGAGCTGATGGCTCTGACTTTCCATGTTCTACTTCCGCTAATGTTGAAAGCGCTTGGGGTTCTGTGGACATCACCACTACGAGGCTGTTGCTTTTCACTTCCTACCAGAGGGAAGAGGCTCCTTCTGTCTTCAGCTAACCATTTCCATTCCCCCAACCCCTGGTATCTCTCCTCCCTCTTTGCTTTTGTCTTCTAGCAGTTAATATTATGGATCATGGCTGTGAGAGGGTCGAGATTCTGGTGAAGTAAGGAGGGAAGTACAAACACAGTGACAGGAAGACATGCTCTGTGGAGACAGTTGTGTTAGCACTGTTAACGACTGTTAGCCTGTATTCTAAATGTCGCCTGCCGTGCACATGTCTCGGCATGCATGGCCTGGAGCAGCTGTGGGCATTCATTTACGTGTGGCAACACAGGAAAGATTCTTCTTTGACGTTATGTCACAGGCACATTAGGTCATCCCTCTTAGTTAGGGTTTCTAATGCTGTGATGAGACACCATGGCCAAGGCAATTCTTATAAAGAAAAACATTTCATTGGGGCTGGCTTACAGTTTCAGAGGTTTAGTGCCTTATCTTCATGGCGGGAAACATGGAGTCACACAGGCAGACATATTGCTGGGGAAGTAGCTAAGAGTTCAGTATCTGGATATGCAGGAAGCAGGAAGAAAGTAAGACAAGACCTGGCTTGTGCATTTGAAACCTCAAAGCCCACCCCCAATGACACACCTCCTCCGGCAAGGTCACGCCCACTCTGCCGAGGCCACACCCCCTAACAGTACAGCTCCTGATGGTCCTGTGGGGTCCATTTTTTTTAATCTACCACACCATCCGTCACTTTACTTTTATTTCTGATGCTTCTTGTGCCTCGTATAGCACACTGTTTGATTTTAATACTACGCTTTCTTGAAAGTTCTTTAGAGCTCGAGATCGTTATTCAATATCTACCTGAAGAAATGCCTCTTGGTTAGAAAAAAAAAAATGGAGCGTCTGAAATTAGACTACTTTGAGAAATAAAAGTATTAAATTTCCTTAATGGTGTCTGTTGCAGCTTGAGCAAGAATACGATTTTACGGGAAAAAAAAGTGGTTTTATTCCTTTATCGTCATTTGAGAATTTCATATATATACAGTATGTGTTCGTTGTACAGCCAATCTGCTCATTTCCTTCCCTTGAGTCCCTCCCCTCTTCCCCCAGCACTTTTCCCTACTAACTTCATGTGCTAACTTCATGTGGTTTTTTTTTTTTAATAACAAAAACAAAAACAAATCAAGGAACTTGGCACCTCGGAGGAAAACTGGCGTTCTCTCCCCAGCAGCCACCCGCTGTGATGTCCTCTTGACTCAGGGTGGATTCGTGATGCCCTCCCCCATACACACTGAGATTTTGGTTGACTTGATCCTGGGCAGGCCTTTGCATGCAGTCCCAGCCGCTGAGGGTTCATGTGGGCAATGGTGCATGGCAAATTCTTTTTTACTTCAGATATCTATTATCTTCAGGTCTTAGAATTTTCCTGCCACTGTGATCCCTGAGCCTTGCCCGATGGCAGAGTGTGACATAGATGTCCTGTCTAGAGCTGAGAACTCCATGGCTCCTTATGCACGTCACCTGTTGTAATGCGTTAATCACCCGTGTTAATCACCGTCTGCTGCAAAAAGAAGCTTCTCTGCTGGGGTTGAGAGGTGCACTGATCTCTGAGTAGAAAGGTTAGAACTTAGGGGCAGCTTAATCCTACATCTCTCTAGCAGAATAATTTGATTATGGTCTTCCCAGTGGGCATGTCTTGCTAGACCACTCAGTGCAGCATCACAGTTGGGTAAAACTGTTGCCTTCCTCCTCTAGTAGTTCTTGGGGAAACTTCCAGCACCATGAAGGGGAGTTAGCCAGGATGAAATGTTACTTAGGAGCAGTTTATTCCTCCATATCACCTGTGCTTGCTTCATATATAAATATTCTTTAGCTATCTGAATATTTGAAATGTCAGTTGCTACCTTCTTGACTGTCACATATTTTCTACTTTTTTTTGGAATCAGAATTTCATAATAATAAACCTACATGTTTTATTGATCAATTATTAATGAATAATTAATTACAATTAAATATTATTAATTAATA